GTAGTAGTAGTAGTAGTAGTAGTAGTAGTAGTAGTAGTAGTAGTAGTAGTAGTAGTAGTAGTAGTAGTAGTAGTAGTAGTAGTAGTAGTAGTAGTGTTGAGTGTTCTAATTCTTTCCCCTTTCCATCCTCATCTCATTCCAAACTCCTAGGTATCGCTATCTGCCCGTTCCTTGCCGGTTGTCCCCACCACCTCCTACGATCGAGTATGCTCGAGGACTGTTGCTTTCATCGTTTCATGGCCGCCTGCGGGACGAAGACGAGCTATATGAAGCGTGCAGTACTCGGCTGCCATAGTCCGATCTGCGTTTCATCGGGCGGCTTCCCTGCCTCGCCAATCAACCGGGACAATAATATCCACTTCAGCCTTTCCTTCTAAGAAATTGTCGATGCTCATATGGCTAGCACGGGACGGTACGGCAAGCAGCATCTGGCTTACCGGCTTTCGCCGGACTGGCAGCATCTAATCTCGATTTGACAATGTGTCAAAGGTCCGTCCCTGGGTACCTAAGACACTCACACGCCGGAGCTGACACTTTTCACTTCCTTATCCACTTTTCTTAGCCAGAATTAGCGTATGGGACATCAAGGATCACTGCCACCAACTGCCATGGTCGGGGGACAACCCGCTCCCCAATTCTTTTCACAAGCAAGGTGGAGTGGACTGAAATACTTTGGTTAGGGCAATGTTGACTGAGCATCCTCTTTTGTTCTGCTTTTCCAACAAGCCCCAGATCGTTGAGGCTTTGGAGGAGTTAAGGAATTGGAGCCTACCCGCGCTGGAATATAGATGCTACTAACTAAAACTACTGACTAGACTAGCTCTAATGACTCTCGGATAGTGGAGCCATCGTAAGGTTCGATCATTTCGTCTGAGCATTTCACCCTACACCATGGTGGGCAGACGGTGGTATCGGCAACGTTGCCATTCACAATGGTCCCGACTGGCTAATCAGCAATAGCAAAAAGCGAGAAGGGTTGCCCGTGGCTCGATCGGCCGGATGGTGGAAAGATTCCAAGAGTGATCCATGCATGTCTACACCATCCTGCATACACACACACACATTCACACATCAGCCCTGCTACTGGGTTGGATCTCGGCCTTCTTCCTTGTCTCCTGTCTCATCCGAGTGCCGACATGTGGGTAAAAATTGATACTCGTAGTCTATACACCACTTCCCCGAATGTTGTGATGGGACTAAAGTACCTTTTACTATCTTTAGGATAGCGCGGTGATATTGGGGTCGCAGACCAACGCTAAGCTGGCCGTAGCCGAACTAGGGCGTTTCGTCTATGCTGGACAGTAAGTCAGTAAGTTAGTCTCAATTCTCGCCTCCTAAATTTAGGCTTAGCGATTTAGTTTTCATTCTTTGTTTTTGGTTTTGGTTTCTTCTTCTCAAAAAGTGTAAGTGCTCCATTAGGACTTTTGCCCTAGCTTCTTGTTCCACCACAGAACGTACTGATGCTTAAATACTATATTCAGGCTACGAGGGGCCAGACGGGACTTGTTCGAATAGGGAGCGAACGTATAGGTACTAGGTATTCTTGAGGCTGACAGGCCGGGGAAAAAGTACGTCCTGTAGCTCAAGGTCTTCTTGACCATTCCCCGCTCTTAATTAATCTCGGTAGTTCTTTCCCTCCAGCCACGGGGCGTTGAGTACGCTGACTCAGGGCATTTCATGTCCCCAAAATTTTGACACGAACGATGTGAATGCATCCAACCGCGAACGCTTCGCTCGCGGATGCACGTTTTAGTCTAAAGGTAAAAATTTAAGATCAAGAACACAGACAGACAGCAGTGGCAAAAGAATTCGGATCACGGGCCCTTTGCCGATCTACCCACTCTTTCTTGATTCTTTTCATTCAGCAAGATTACCTTTCTTGTTATCTGTGAGTTAGTTGATGAGATGTGGAGTCCTATATCACAACGCTGATCTCATAAGATTGCCGATCCACCATGACCATGGTGGTGTGATACAGATCCGGACGACATCTCAGTCTTCGAGCAAGCTGGGCAGCTCTCACCTTTCGTCATGCTGCTTCAGCTGAATTCATCCTGTGTCATCAGGTCACCTGTCGCCGTTCACTAGTACAGTTCCTCCTCTCATAGATGGATCTGGACAGTGGCACCGTACTTGTGAGAAGATAAGCATGTACTGGTACTTTCACACTCACTGGCGGCAGCCGGCAAATGGGGTCAGTACAGCACACTACTACTGTACATCAACTGTACCCCGTCCTAGCTTGGATTGGTTGGTTGCCTTCTTCTTCTGCTTCGCTTTGGAGGTGTCTCGGTCCAATCTTCGACATGCTGGAGATGCAATGAGTAAGTTTAGTAGTGCCCGCTCCCCTCTTTCTTGCTAAATTAGGGTAAGATTCCTTGTCCATTTCCCATCATTGATTTCATGCCCTGCCCCACCCACTCCCTGTTTCCTTTGTCTCTGGCCAAAGGAAGCTAACAATAATGCAAAGCACTTAGTCGAAGTCACACTGATGGCGTGTATCCGGTTGGTTGGCCGTAGACCGACAATTATTGGCCAGGACAGAATGTCTGGCACTAAGTACCTAGTACCTACTCCTAGCAGTATTCATTCTCTCCTCCCCGAGTCAACATCCATGATGCTGAGTGTCTGATCCAGTTCTACTTGTCGCAACAGGCTATTGTATCCGACCAATGACCGCCGCGTCTTGAAATTAGCCTGCCGATGCACCCCGACTATCATACAACGATTGCGTCTTCCTCATGGACACATAGGAAGGAAAAAGAAAATTAGGCCGGGCAGTCTCAGGTTTGACGGAGGATGAACGCTGTCAAGTGGCGGTGGGAGATTGGCTTGTGGCCCAGCCTGGTGCTTATCTCCTTCCTTCTTAGATGAAGCTCCGAAGACCTGAGACTGCACCTCCACCAGCTCTTTCACCGCTGGATAGGAAGGTTGCAGAATCCTACAGCACCGCATAGGCGAAAGGTGAGGGAAAAGCATGGATGGGGAGCGATGTGTCCGAGTGTCATCTGGGATTTGACCACGGATAATCAACGGACGAGAGTGTTGACAAGATCGAAGACAAAGATGACCCTGACTTCTCAAAATGGTGTTATTGCCAATCACAAGTCCCTCTGTGCTAGACAGGGGGTACCTATTTCTTTACCTTCGTTTACGCCGCTTGACGCGCCCATATTTTCGGGCTTATGCAGTCTCGAATCTAGAGGGATGTTCTAGGTCCCTCTCCAGAACAAGATCAGTGACAGTGTCTAGAAGGAGCGCTTGCCCAGGCTGCAGGCTAGCTGACAGCTTCCACCTCGCCTGGTCACTGGAGTGGACAGCGGCTGTGGGCGAGTCCATGATGCAAAGGAACAGCACCACAGGAACCGAGACGGAACCCCCGCCTGTCAGTTGCCTGTCAGCTGCAGAACATCCTACCCTAGTGCGCCGGCATGTACAAGGGGGGCCGATCCAATGGACAAAAAACGGATCGCTGTGTTTGATGGGAGGGTGCTATGGCTGGGAATTAATTGCGTCAAATAGATGAACACTGAGCATTTTGAATGCTGACGACGAACAAAGGAATCGACACTCGACTTAGTTTATGCTCGATAGATGTGACAATGCGACCTCGTCAAAGGGAGTTCCTACAATCCCATTCTCCCCAATCATTGAAATCAGTTTGCCTAGCCTGTTGCTGTGTTTGCCAAGTGGATGCCAGTATGCAGGCAGCGTCAGGGTCAGCCCTCCATGAAAGAAAGCGCAAAAAAGAGAACTAACGTGTCAGGAAAAGCAAAGAATAAAAAATAAAAAAAAAATCAATAACAAAAGGAATTTCATGTATCACAAAGCATGCCATCTACTCATATCATCGGTCACCAGAGACCTGGGGAAATAGCCGTGGAACTAATCCATGCTTCCTACTTAACTGTGATCGGCCATTGCATATACCTCATATACCTCCTACCTACCTACCCTACAGCGATGATCTGAAAGACTCCGCGGAAGTAGGAGGAGGTCGTGGGAGGTATGGTCATAGACGCGCCGCGCTCTGCTACTAATGCTTGCAAGGTATGGCTTGTTTTTTTATTTCCTTGCTCCCGAAACAGTCATCCTTGACACCAACGGAACGGTTCAGTACTTTGTGAATCTGGTCTTTGCCTAGCCCTCGGCCCCTGTTTTGCCGTGTCCTCTCACCCTGCAGGAAAACATGGCCTTGGCTCTCCTTCGCTGGATAGTGACGCAGAGGCTCGCCTATTGCGGCAGGTGTCTACACAATAGA